AGATTGTCCATCTCTAGAGGAAGCTGTTATGTAGGAAACATTCGCTTCCAGAGATTCAAACATTTATTGGAGTTCAGTAATACCCCATTCATGGTTATTTGTGAAGTTCCTCTTCAGATACTTAAGTTGAAGTTCCTCAGTATCTCTGAGTTGATGGAGATAATTCCTCAGTATCCAGCTCGTGTCGGCTCCATCCAACATTTTTTAAGATTCCACAGTTGTTGGATTTTCTTCTTTCGTTTAAAGCATTTTTTCCACGAGTGTCCACTTTTTCCACAGTAAAAGCATCCATTGAATATCCGTTTGTCAATTCGATTTCTTTCCCACTTGACCTTAAATGTTTCCCGAGTCAGGGGTCTCTGTGGAGCAACAGGGATGCACCTGACAGTTCCACCCGAATCATTATTCTTCACAGAGTTATCCTCCTTTTCAGTGGTATCTAACCAGTTCGAGCAGGTGCTCAACATCTTGACTATTTTGTATTTCTTAGCTAAACAAGTTTTACCAATGTTAGCATCTTCTTTCTTCTTTCGTAGTTCAGCGTGCAACATCCGGACATTGTCTTCCTTTGTGAGTTTTGACACACGTCCTGTCCTTTTCACAGAATGAGATCTTTGAGAATGACCCAGTTCCAATTCTTCTTTGAGAGAGATGAAATTTATTATTTCTTGAGCAAGTTTGATCTTTGCCTTGCTCAGCTGAGTCCAGAGGTTATACAGACCTTGGTAGTCTTCGGGAGATTTTGGTTTGGCAAGTTCATCAGAATCTAACATATCTTAAGTCTCACGTTCTTCTGTGTCGGTAATGAAAGCAACATGGTTTACCATATCATGTCCGATTTTCATTTCTGAACCTTCCGACATGACTTGGCCAACACCGTTGCAATGAGGTTCCCCGGTCCTTTACATGATCTTCACCTGTTTAGAACCAACAAAGAGTTCTAGGTTTGGTGAAACTCTCTGATACCAAATGAAAAAGATATAACCACATACCAATCGAATAACACAGTAAACAACACACTTGAATCAATCATATGAATATCACTTTATTCATATGCGCAATTTAGAACACAAATTGCTTCTAGAAGCCATACAATCCTAACTACCCAACACATGATTCGTTCACAAGACTTTACCTAGTTTACCCTTCTTCTGTGATCACACACACCCAGAGAATTCAATGCCTCACAATTAAGAACGTCTCTCACCACCCATAAACCCTAATGAGTTCTACCCAAAAAACCTCCTTTTTAATTTCTACAGGGCCAACTCAATGAACCCTTATTTTTCTTCTTTTTATATCACCGTCTTCTCTCTCATACATGCTTCGGACCAACAGACAGAAGACTATGTTGAAACAGTGAATCACTGTATCAGAAGTCCCATCGTATTTACGCAAGATGCCATGCTTTGTCTTTTTCCCTTTCATGATGTCAAGTCTTTATTCTCTGAGCTGCTCATCTTCACCAAGTAGCAACTTGCTCTTCGCATGGCTCAAGGTGCCACCTGTCACACCAGCTGGCAGAGTAAGGCTGTATGACACAGAATGCTTCTTTCTCCTTTCTTCGATCTTGAAATATTATGTTGAACTTCATTGATTCTACAAAAATAAGCATGAATACAGATTTTTCAAATCAATAATACATCATAGCTATTAAAATTTAAAAACACTGTGGAAAAGTCAGGCATAAGTCAGCCATAACTAAAACACATAAAGTGCTATCCTAAAAGGCTATTAATACATGTAGTTCCAACAATGAGGGATTCACATTTTCTCTTGAACAATTCTTGTACCAAAAGACTTATGAAACAACAACAAAAAACCATCTTTTGATCTACGTTCTTATGGTTTACTCCTAGAAGTTCCAGCTCCCTAAATTGTTGTAACCAAATTTAGTTGTGTGAGTTTCAATCCCCACAAAAATGATCTAAAAACGGTCACTGGTCAGCGCCAAACCTCTCACCCTCTTGTAAATCTTCCAAATCCATGACATGGTTCTTAACATCCTAACCATATTATGACACTAGGTTGAAAAGTCGTATGATCAAGCTTTTAGGACTCTATTCCATTGCACTAAAATTCCCATCATAAGGTAGATTAACTAGTGTATCTTCCTTCCTCTATCGAGATCGCTTGTACAGTCTGATTAAGCACACCGTTCATTAGAAGATGAATAAAGCTTTTATTTGAGTAGATCTATCTTTCGTAGTTGTTGTCAATCAGAAAGCTAGGGTTTGTGACTGCAAGAACCCTACAAAACAACTTTGCATTTTGAAAATTCCAAAATAAACCTTTGAGCGACTAGGCCTATTGATTTGTTAAGGCAAAGCCTATGATCCGATCGAGAGTCTTAAATCACATTTTCTACTCGATTTCAAGTAGTCATTGATTGATCGGCACTAATCTTTTCTTTATATGTTGCATCTCAAAGCGAACACAGTCAGGATTGAGTTTCAGGATGTTTGGTATAGCTAATTAATATCAGAGTTACAGAATAATCAAAATTCTATTGATGTTATATTATCGCGTATTGTTGTTTCATGTATATAAAATTATCTAAGTTGTGTGATTAGGCAGTCAAATAAAGCAAGCAACAAAAAAACATGTGTAATGCATGTGATTAACATATTGAAGTTGAAGGATGTATTACTTTGAAGCTCAAGAAAGCTCTAGTTAAGGATAGTGTTAGTTCATGTGAGTATCTAACATATGTTCCAATTAAAGTCACTGCTTGTTCATAGGAGTTTCGAATATATATTCAAGTAAATTAATTCACTGCTTAAGGAACCAAACACACTAGAAAATCCTATTGTGAGAAGAAGATTTGGTTTATGCAAGAGTAAGTAACTCTTATAATCATCATTAATCTTCAAACTTCGAATTGTGACTGAGAAGCTGCAGGTAAAGCCTTCGTGTAACTTGCTGAGCTTCTTAGGATATCTTGCAAGCTCCCTAAAAACATGTCACAAGACGAGCAGGAAAGTTTATGGGCATATAGTTTGTGTTGTGTAGCAAATTTTATATATAATACTCTTAATCAATCACTTACTTTGTGTTGAGAGAGAGAGGTTATATTCAGAATGATAAAGTACCTTGCTTCCTAGACATAAAAGACGCATCATTATCATCGTTTGATGAACCGTCGTCTGATGATTCATCTAATGAACCGTTGTCTCATGAACTTTCCGACGGTGGTTTTAAAGTGACATGTGAAGTCACCAATTCTGTAGTTTGAAGATTAATGAAAATGTGAAGAACCAAATCCAAGCTTTTTAAGGTGTCATTTGGATATAACTAATTTGAAATCTCACAAAAACCCTTAAAATCTCTCGCTCAAATCCTAGATTGAATACACCCCTTGGGCTTATATTGTTAGCTTAAAACCATTCAACTTAGGGAACACAATAGATAACAGGGGAAGAGCAAGATTTCGAACCCAATAACTGATCAGAAACCCTAGACGTCGTGAAAGCTAAAGTGCCCAACATAAGTTAGACAAAGAAACAAACTACAGAGTTAGATGTACAACCTGCAGGAATAGTATCTTACATAAATTAGACCAAGAAATAACATAAATCCTAGAATAATATCAAATCTAGAAAAGCAAACTTCCAAAACCCTGAGGAATGATCAGAAGGATGATAATATGTTGATCAGGACTTTAATTACTATTCCATTTAGGAATTCTTCTACAAAGTGTTTTCGGAGATTCTTATAAATAGGAATGAGGACCCGTTGGCAAGATCCATCCTTTATAACAGGCTTGGTGAGGGTTTAGTTATATGGAGGCAACAGTGTTCTGCATTTTAGTGTTCCTATTTTTGTTATTTTGATTTAAATCAAGAAGAGCCCTTGGTTTAATTCCTATGAGAGAAGAGACAGTCCTTTTTATTACAAAATTGCATCGAGAAATAGAAGCATGAAAATGTGTATTGGACTACAGTTTCTATTAGCTAGACATGATCATTCTCTCAAATCTCAAAACTCTATCCTCGTCTATGAAAAAAAAAAGATAGTAACTAGCAAAGACAAAGAGACTACATAAATCCAAGGCCATGGACACAGAGAAGACTCTCT